TCTACAACCCTAGGACCTTTACTGCTAAAAATGAGCACAGAAAGGACTTGTTATGGGGGACATAGGACCTACAATTGGTTTGGGCCTAAGTAGGCCTCAAATAATTGAGCCTGAAATGTACAAGCTCTGTAGTACATGTACCACAAAGTTTGTTTAAAAGAGAGGTACCCTAAAAATAATTCAATGAAGGGTGACCATAAAGGAGGGGAATCAAACTAAGGACATCATCCTCATTCCATCAATCTTGAGTATAGAATGCTTTGGGCTTCTTGGTAAGGGGTCTATAATTGCAATAGTTGGGAGTAGTAGCACAGCCACATGAACATTCTTCAGATTCTATATCTATATCTTCTTGGTGGCAGAAAAAGGAAGTAGGGTGTGTGTAGTGTGTGGATAAGGAAAGCAGGGTGCAATGTGTGGATGGCATTTTCTGTCAAAAGACTTTATACTAGCAACAATGACATCTAGGATTATTGTAGTCACTTGGCTATTAGATAACATTTAAGGGTTGACATGTCGCAATTATCGTTGTCGTTAGCACTACTTGCAATATAATTCGGCTAAAAGTAGTAATCAGTTCTCCAATTCGAAGTGTGTGGGGCCCACAATTATGTGGATTCCCATGTCTTGTTCAGGTAATCGGAGATCATATTATCTTAAAGAGAAAAATGATATTTGAATTGATAAGGAAGTTTCAAGTACTAGTTGAAGATTGATTTATTTTTGAATATGTTTTAGGGATAAAAGTCCTTCGACTATTGTTGTAGGCCTAACTTATTGAATAGAGTAATGTTGTTTTTTTAAAAATTCGACTACGATGGGCTTGTGATTGTATGGAACTTCTACTTGCTCAAAATTTGAGCCCTTAGTCCTTACAAATTGATAGGAACTTCAGCTAACTTCTGGCATTAATAGCCAAGGTTTCCCACATTACCTGACGTAGAATCTGGTGAAAGAAAATGTTCATAGAGTTGAATAGAATATGACAGCATGCTCATTTTGTATATGTATTATACTAATTGAGATTGACCTTTTAGGAAGCATATGATGGCACCACTATTGTAGCCAACTCTCTCACTTTCCTAAAGCCTAAGCGTTTAAAAGAGAACATTCTCTGCCCCAATAATCATCACCAAGGTTTTCCTATTTTTCGTTTTTCCACATTGGTTTATGTATGTGTGTAAATAATATATGTATGTATATTTATGTATATGATAGGCTGCAAAAGACTTGAGGGATGGGTATGTAAAAGGGCATGATGATGTCCTTGTCTGCCAGACTTGGCTGGTTGCACTCTTGAACTAGTTAGTGCAAAGCCATATGATGACAAATAGCTTATCTAGAGCTAGAGGTAGAGAATTGGAATGATAAAGAAAAATGTAAAACAAAACACACCATCTTGAATGCATCTTTTGGAATCAAATTACCATTCGCACATGCATAATGCATTCAATAGTGACACAACCTCTATTTTCTTTTCCTCCCTCCCCTCCTTTCATATCAAATCTTCCAAAATATTCTTTAACATGAATGTGTCTTACAATTAGAAGAGGAATGGGATCGGAACGCTTCTCCTTCATACGCTCTATTGTATGAGTTCATGATTCGCTGTATTGTTCGATACGCGACCATTTTTTAAGTCTGATATGTGATCCGTATCGACCAGTTTACACTGACTTTGTCCGAATCCGTTACACCGCGATCGCAACCGTGATCGATATTATGAACCATTATATCGTATGAGAAGTATCCATCTTCCAAGTATGGACATGATTATTAATAACCTAAGATCTAAGTTATTGCAAATTTTCTAGATAGATCCCAGAAGGTCCATGGTTAGTAGTGATCAATAGTTCACCTCGTTTGGTGTTGTATACATTCGCGGGAAAACCATTGTTCTCAAGAATTCGATGCTTTATTGACTCGTTTTGTCAGGCTTGATTTTTCTGTCACACAGTACATGTATATAAAGTCACGCATATGACCATTGTTTGACATGTATGATTCACACATGTACAAGTACAACATAGAACAGTGTGGACAGAAAAGAGTGAAGCAAGCTTGTGGTAACAGGGACTCACATGGGATTTAACCTCTAAAAAAAAAAAAAACAACAAACCGGGACTCACATGGGATGGGTGTGTTATGGTGGGGTCACAGGACTCCATTTTTCAAAAGCTACACTTCATTCATAGCCAAAAGTAGCAAATAAAAGGGCATCCTATGTGCTGAAAATTCCATTCTCATTTCTTACTCTAATACTACACTTCCCATAATATCTCCATTGAACTTCACCTCTATCACCAATCATATATGTGTGTTAAAACCACAATATCTTCCAATCCTCCAATCTTTTATATGGAAACTAAGGTCAGTTTGTTATAATGGAAATTAAAGGAAAATAAAAGAATGGTAATGGGGAGAGGAGGAATTGTTTGTATGAAATGTTGGAAGGAAAAGAAAGGATTTGGGGGGGATATAACCTAATACTATAAATTTTTATATCCTTCTAACAATGGGAGATAATGAGAAAAAAAAGGTAGTACTTTTAAGGAAATTTTGTTAATATAATACCAAATTTGTCCTTTTTATAAAAGACAAAATCTATAAAAAATGATATAACTGTAAATTCATTTCATTTCTTTTCCGAACATAATAATAATTATTATTTTCTTTCTTTTCATTCGCTAAACAACCTAACGCAATAAGTAATTAAAACTATCTCTTCTTTTATTTCATTTTTTTTCTCTCCTAACTAATATTATCATTTTTTTTTCTTTTTCAGGACTTAATTAGGTTCTAATACTTCAGCATAAAGAATCATCTCAATGCATCTTTTAAATTCAAGAACATGATTATCACATATTATGATGATCATAAGTAGGCACGGACCATTAAGGGCTAAGTGGGGGAGCCGCTCCCACCAAAAAATTTTTATTTGTAAAATTATCTATAAATTTTGTAAGAATTTTTAAAATGTCTCTTCTTCTTTTTTTTTTTTTTTTTTTTTTTTTTTTTTTTTTTTTTGTAAAATTTTAAAAATGCCCCCACTCAATTTCTAATGATACCTCACTATTTATTATTGTTGTTCAAGACCACTCCCTCACCCTCATACAATTCTTTGGGTCCGTCACGAGGTCTTTATAATTCACTGATACCTTGCTTATGAGAGATACTGAGAAAGGTATGAAAACAAATTTAGTCTTTAACGTTATTTTTACAATTCTTTGGGTCTGTCACTGATCACGAGGTCTTTATAATTCATTGATACTCATAGTTCTTAGTCGCGGTATCGGTTGCGGTAACAATCGCTGTGTAACGGATTCGGCTTAACCGTTCGGTTCATGGACGTGTATCGGACCCTTGAAAAATGGTCCGATACACAAGGTTTTTATAATTCATTGATACTCATGGTTCGTAGTCGCGGTATCAGTTGCGGTAACGATCGCTGTGTAACGGATTCGGCTAAACCTTCCGGTTCATGGACGTGTATCGGACCCTTGAAAAATGGTTAGGAGACACGTCGGGTATCGGCCGATATGGCGAACCATACTCATACCTTACTTACGAGAAATACTGAGAAGGATATGAAAATGAATTTAATCTTCAACATTATTTTTGTAAAATATGATTAGTCTGCTCGTGAGTCCGAACTATTTCCCATCTTTTCCCCCTCCCCCTTACGGTGAGTAGTTGGGGCGTGGAAGATTTAATCATTTAGGTCCAATTAATATAAGACATTGAGTTTGTAACAAGTTTATGTGACAGGTTTAAATGGAGGAAAACAATCACTTAACAAACAAATGAAGAAAACAAGCAATTGGTCTTAACTTGACCGGTGCGTATAGGTCCCAAACGAGTGGGAATATGGCAAGCAACTGTTGGAGCTAGAATCCAGAAATTTCAACATACAACAAACATTTTAATTGGTTGGTGCACTCTATTTTAATGTAGTGTGTGAGTCATTATATATATAGTTTGCAGGTTTGTGTCTTAATCCGTCAATGAAATTTGAATGACTAAACAGTCTTTAACCTAACAATTTGAAATAACTAATTAATAATCCATCTCTTTGGAATGCACAATTGAAAAAAATAAAATTAAAAAATGAGATTTGCACAATTACCCAAAAAAATAGAATTAAAAACAGAATTTTAATAAGTAAAACTGTCCTTAGAATGTGGTGATGATACCATTTTGACTATCGATTTTCAACTGTTTGGGAAATAATTATTAATGACCCGATTGCAACCATCCTATGCAATAGTATAAAATGATTCAAACCCGAAATCATTTTTTGTAGGGGCAGATTCCACGTTAGAATTTCCAAATTCATCATTAATTAAAACCAATTTGATATAGCACCCATTTGACATGCATTTTGTTTCAAACGTTTTGTTTTTGCCTAAAAAGAAACAACGTTTTTGTTATAGGAATATTTAAAAAAAAAAATAAAAAACATGTTTGGAAATGATATTTTAGAGTTTTGTTTTTATCCCGTGTTGCATTACTGTTATGATTTTGGACAAAAACAGTTGCCAACATAAGAAAAAAAAAATAATTTTTTGATGTTTTAGTTTTGGGTCACTGTTTTAACATTGTGTAAAATAAGACAAGGTTGCACCAAATATACTTTTATTGCCAAATTCAACATTGTAATAGTCCAAAAATAAAAACAACATAAACAAAACCCATTTAAAAAAGAACCTAAGAATTTTAATAAAAAGTTTAAAAGTAAAACACATTCCACCTGATATCGATCTTTCTTACTTACATAAAATAATAATAATAGGATCAGTCTATTATTTTCCTCTTGTTAATGACTATAAATCCTTAAATATTGTGAATCCTACAAAAAGTTGTCTTATCCAACGGATGAGAGTACCTACCATTTTCCTTTTTGATAGTAACGTCTACAATTTTTCCTCGTGAATAGTTTGATGGTCTTCTTTTCAAAATAAAGACAATTTCATATGATTTTTATTTTTATAAATCATTAATTTTGTTTTTATAGCTCAGGCCTACTAATATTCTTTCCCTCCATAGTCCATTCTCTCTCATTTCTATGTATATATATATAATATATTAGTACTGTATATAATATGCAAAGAAAGAAAGAAGTAAGAAAAGAAAGAAAGAAATGGAAGCAAACTTAGGTTCCAAGTGGTTTCTCCTCTTGGTGGTACTGATTTTATGTGTTGAGCTCACACAATGCAGTGTCACCTACGACAGGAAGGCCCTTATCATCAATGGACAGAGAAGAATTCTCTTCTCAGGCTCCATACATTACCCCAGAAGCACCCCTCAGGTACACAACTTTCCCACACTTTCCCGAGAAAAAAAAAAAAAATGTACTTCTCATGTGAAGCTTTCTTGATATTCTTGCTTAAATGCAGATGTGGGAAGGCCTTATACAGAAGGCCAAAGATGGTGGTTTGGATGCCATAGACACTTATGTCTTTTGGAATCTTCATGAACCTTCACCTGGAAATGTACTTTGATTTTTCACTTTAATTTCTTGATCAGTACCTTTTTTTTTTCCCTCTTTTTCTTGTGAATTTATGTGTTCTATTTTGTGGGTTTAGTATAATTTTGAGGGAAGATATGATTTGGTTGAGTTCATAAAGATGGTCCAGAGAGCAGGGCTATATGTGCATCTCCGCATTGGGCCTTACATCTGTGCAGAGTGGAATTTTGGGTAGTAATCTTTTTGTGTTTGTAATTAATTAAAGTGTTTGATATGTGATGAATTTTCTGTATAGTAACCTTTTCAATTCTTCTGAATTTTATGTGTTCTATTTTGTAACTTTTTCTGTTTGTAATTAATTAAAAACCTTTTTCTTTTGATTCTTTAGGGGTTTTCCAGTTTGGTTGAAGTATGTTCCAGGCATTAGCTTCAGAACAGATAATCAACCTTTCAAGGTCTCTCTCTCTCTCTTTCTGTCTCTCTCACACACACACATAATGGGGAAAAAAGGACTTTCTGTAAGATTTGTTTTTAATTAATTCTTGGTGTTGCAGATGGCAATGCAGAGTTTCACCGAAAAAATTGTTGGAATGATGAAGGATGAAAAATTGTTTGAGTCTCAAGGTGGCCCTATTATTCTCTCTCAAGTATGGTCTTTCAGCCTTTTCGTTCATTTTTGTATCATTATGTCAGTATATGGTTTTTGGCATATTTAATTGTCCAACACAGCATCTCAAATTTATCAGCATCTGTTGAATATGTTAATAAATGATTGTACATTAAGGGGAGAAAACCAGAGAGAAATTGAAAACATGAAGACATATAAGGGACTAAAGTATCTATGCTGTTGAAATTTACAGCGCACATCTAAGTACTTACTACTATATGCAAATGTACGTTTTTTGCAGATAGAGAATGAGTATGGACCAGAAAGCAAGTTATTTGGTGATGCTGGTCATTCATACATGATTTGGGCTGCAAAAATGGCAGTCGAATTGGATACTGGGGTCCCATGGGTTATGTGCAAGGAAGATGATGCTCCGGATTCAGTGGTAAACAATCTCATATTACTTAGCAGAGATATATTTCTTAGCTGCAATTACATAAATTCTTATGAATTAATAAGCTATAGTTTCTATTAGTATTTTGCTGTTCATAATCTTTAGTTTCTCATAAACAAATCTATTATAGCAAAATCCTTGCAAAAATAAATTAAATTCAAATTACTCTAATTCTTGGTGACAGATAAACACATGCAATGGGTTTTATTGTGATTATTTCTCTCCAAACAATCCGAACAAACCCACAATGTGGACTGAGGCTTGGACTGGCTGGTAAGTTCAGAAATCTACCGTCATTTCTGGAACTCCTCTGTATGGAATGAATTTTAACTTGTGCTCTGCCAATTTAAAGGTTTACGGAATTTGGTGGCCCAATTCACCAGCGACCAGTTGAAGACTTGGCATTTGCAGTTGCCCGGTTGATTCAGAAGGGAGGTTCCTTTGTGAACTACTACATGGTCAGTAACAATTTGTTTTTTCATTTCTTGACAATTTACTGTCACCACATGCTATGCTATGGGAAAGTATACTTACAAAATGGTTCCATTGGACTCCATGAATATTGCATTGAAACAGAAAATATGACATTCTTATAAAAATTTTGCAATTGTCCATTTGGTTGATGAGAAAGCAACGAATATATACACACACACACACACACACACACATAGTTAAATTTGACCTATGTTTTATGTTGTTTTTGTTTCTTTTTTTTGAAAAAATGACCGGTTCATCTTTCACCTAAAATTTTCAAATTTCTTTATATTCCTCAATTCCACAGAAATTTATCCAAGTTTGCCTGAAGGGAACGACTTGCTTTATGTTATTTTGATTGGTAAGTAAATATAACAGAAATGAAACTCAAAATGAATGCAGGTGGGGATTGGAGCTGGCAATTTTAACAATGAAAGTAGTGTTTTCATTTCATACGACTTAATGGATCATTATTTTGTAGGTTTTGTGTAATATTAGGCTGACTGGAATCTGATTCATGTTATCGAATCTTTTTTTTTTGGTTTTTAATTTATTTTTATGGGAAAGTCATGTCATCTAAGCATTATCCAAAAAAAAAAGAAAAAGAAGTAAGATGTGAAAGCTTAGTTCAACAATAGAACTCATGTTCTTATTGTTTTCAACAGTATCATGGAGGAACCAACTTTGGAAGAACAGCTGGAGGCCCCTTTATCACTACTAGCTACGACTATGATGCTCCAATTGATGAGTATGGTGAGAAAACTGAACTCATCCTATAAATACACGAAAATTTAGATTTCCAGTTTCCATTGTTGGATATGACTTTCTTCTTTGGAATTGTAATTAATCATTTCAGTGTGCTAAATGGACAGGGTTGATTAGGCAACCTAAGTATGGTCATCTGAAGGAGCTCCATAAGGCTATCAAGCTATGCGAGCAAGCTTTAGTTTCTGCTGATCCTACAGTCACATCGTTAGGAAGCTATGAACAGGTTTGCTTCCTCATTTTAAGGATGTGCTAGGAGCAACTTCGAGCAAAAATGACTAGTAATTGAACTTGCAAAAGATCAGAATAATCTATGAGTTCCTATAATGTGTCAGGTGAAAAAAATAAAAAGCCATTTCACAACTAACAACTATGAAAGCAGGTATTCAGAGAAATCAGAAATCATACTAGTGATTATTAAAGGATATTTTTTTTCTTTTCTTGAAGTTGCTATTGAGCTCACCCTACCATTTCTTTGCCACTTCTGATATTTGGGTAATTTGTGCTGCTTCATTTGTGATGGATTGAACTTAATATTAAGATTGTCCAGGCACATGTATTCTCTTCCCACTCAGGAGACTGCGCAGCTTTTCTCTCAAACTACCACTCAGAGTCAACGTCAACGGTGACATTTAATAACATGCACTATGAGCTACCACCTTGGTCCATCAGCATTCTTCCTGACTGCAAAAATGTTGTCTTTAACACTGCTAAGGTAAGTTAAATAGGACAATAGTAATTGTTAACCACTGCACATAAGCAAGAAAAAATCTTTTGTAGGAAGTGTCTTTCAAGAAAATATCAGTTTTTAATTTTCCTTAGTAAGAAATTTTCATTTTATTATGTCTCCACTAAAAAGTCTGTCCTTTCTCTGTCTCTCTCTCTCACTCTGGGGTAAATGCTTTCACTGAAAAGTCAAAACATGCCCTCAGTACACCTTAATGATATATAACTCATCACATAATCAATGCATAATCCATTTCCAGATATGATTATGGTTCCCCAGAGATTGCAGCTTCATTGAAACAATTCAAATGCTGGGGAAAACATTCTCTCTTTTTGAATAATTTAGTCCTCATATCTAACATTTTTTATACATGGTGGGATGACAAAATGCTTGCTATCTTTTAATTGCAGGTTGGAGTTCAAATATCCGGGATGCAGATGTTGTCCGCCAATGCTGAGTTACTCTCATGGGAAACATTCAATGAAGACATATCATCGGTTGATGACGATTCCAAGATCACAGTCCTTGGTCTGTTGGAGCAGTTAAATGTCACCAGAGATGCCAGTGACTATCTCTGGTATACGACCAGGTGAGATTGAAACCGGTGTATTGGTTTTCGCAGATTTATCGAACATATACATTGCAACTGAGATTATCTGATTAAACAAAATTTCCAGTGTTGAAATAAGTCCATCTGAATCATTTCTGCGTGGAGCCCAACATCCTGTTCTCAGTGTGCAGTCAGCAGGCCATGCCTTGCATGTGTTTATCAATGGACATTTATCAGGTGCATTGTTGAATTGTGTATCTTAGAGAGTAAATGAGCTCTCTTGTCATTGCAAACCAATTTGTTTGAAGAAATCTATGAACTTTTTGATATGCTAAATATTAACTCAAAAGTTGATGTTGTTGTGCTCAAAATATAGGATCGGCCTTTGGGACTCCGCAAAGCAGAAGATTTACTTTTACAGGAAATGTCAACCTGAATGCTGGAACAAACAAAATTTCACTTCTCAGTGTAGCTGTTGGATTGCCAGTTAGTTCTCTGACTCCTAATTCAAGTATTGGTAGCTGAGTGCCACTTTGGAATAAATTCCTAAGTCCTGAAACACTACATAGCCTAGTGTTTGCTAGCATGCATTTTGTTCTAAGAAACCAACATAATGTTTTAATTATCAGTGAATTTCCTTCAATCATCTAATAAGCAGTTGGTATTTCAGTTCCAGTTGGAATTCGACATATTATGCTAATCAAGGAAAAATTAAGTACTCTTTTTCAAAACATTCGGACTATGCTTCACTTTCAGTTCCAGTTGGCTTATTATGCTATTCTATAGGAAAAATTAAGTATTCTATTTAAAAACATTTTGGACTATGCTTCACTTTCATCAGTACTACAACTGATAACAAACTGGAAGTTTTTTATTGTCCTTCATTTGTTTACCTAATTTTCTTTAATTCAATGTTTGTTTTGGTTGAAGAACAATGGGCCACATTTTGAGACAGCCAACACAGGAGTCCTAGGACCAGTTGTTCTACATGGGCTAGACGACGGGAAGAGGGACCTATCCTGGCAGAAATGGTCATACCAGGTTGACGAATCTTATATCTTAGTGATGCATTGTTTATTTGGAAAATTTCGCCACCTTAGTTCTTTTGTTACACAGGTCGGGCTCAAAGGAGAAACGAAGGACCTAGTTTCTCCAAGTGGAATTTCTTCAGTTGATTGGATGCAAGGATCCTTGGTTGCAGATAACCAACAGCCTCTTACATGGTTTAAGGTACATAAACAATGGAGTGCCACTTTTAATTGTGTCTAATATTCATTAGAATGTACATGTACTAGCTTCGCCAGGGTGAAGGTTAAACACAGGTTTCGTTCCAAGGACAGACTAATTATTGGAAATTTGTGTTTTAGTGTCATTGTAATATTCTTCAGTCATGAATCTCGGAATTAATACAACTATGTATACTAGTACACTAAGCATTATAGGTTTTACTTTCTCTTACGCCTTGCAGGCTTATTTCAATGCACCGGAAGGAGATGAGCCATTGGCGCTTGACATGACTGGTATGAGTAAGGGTCAAGCATGGATCAATGGGCAGAGCATCGGAAGATATTGGATGGTTTATGCCAATGGTGATTGCAGTGACTGCAATTATGCAGGGACATACCGACAAGCAAAGTGCCAATCTGGCTGTGACCAACCAACTCAAAAATGGTACACAACTTTCTAAACAACATTTTATTGACTGGTGAAAACAGGTCATACAGAAAAAAAAAAAAAAATTCTATGTCCTTTAAAATCTTTTGGTGTTCAGGTACCACGTTCCTCGGTCTTGGTTGAAGCCAACCCAAAATCTGTTGATAGTTTTTGATGAAATTGGTGGAGATGCATCGAAGATTTCTCTTGTGAAAAGATCAGCTACCAGTGTATAGAGATAAAAGGTCTCGATATTATAGTTGTTGTCAGAGTATAAGTTTTAGCAGAATGGAATCAGAGGATTATCTTTTGGTGGAAGTGATATCCTAGTCTTGCACCTTCAATTTTTAGACCAAATTTGAAGCTGAATAAAGCAATATCGTTATATGATTTTGTAATTATGGGGAAATTAAACCCCCGTATATTATAAATTACTCCATATAATGTATATTATAAATTACTCCATATAATGTGAAATTTCATGACAAGCTTTTCAATGACAATGCAAACATTTCGACAATGTCCTTGCTCCTCACATCATATTCAAAAGAGAATTTCTCTGAAAGTAGGACACTGCCACTTTTGAAACCATTAATGGGGGTATCCCTGCAAGTAAGGTACCTTGTTCTCATGTGGGGCTGCAACTACATACATTAGGTATAATGTCTAGTCCTTTACTGATGCTAGTGGACATCTAGAGGGCAAAATATTTTTTAAAGAGCACTGCCATAAAGTTAAAGTTGAAATTCAAGGAGAAAAAGACAATAAACCCCCTTCTGCACACAAAAAGGCACCATTTGACAACTATCCTAAACCTAGGTTACCAAGAAAAGCTTGAGGAAGCCACATTTTGAAATACTACATGCTTTACATAAACATGCTTGTTAGTTGTTGCCAAATAACACCACCTCATTATATATTACTTTAATTGAGAATCACTTGACTTGTTTTCTTAAGATTGTTCTGGTGGTATTTTGAATCATAAGCAAAACTAAAGCCCTTGCACTGTCGAAAATAACCTTCTAAGCAAAGTTTTAGGACTTGAGAAGTGATGCACACCCCCCACCTCCCCTTTGTGTTTTTGCTGAATGGTCCTGTGTGTATTGTCATAACCAACGGCAAATTGCAGATGCTTCTCAGATGAACAATGGCATGATTTTGCTTCTATCCATGTCCTCTTCGGATATTCTTATGCTACGATGATGGTGATCTCTCTCTCATTAACATAATATATAATTGCACATCTAAGGTTTGTTGGAAACTAGTTATGAAAATTAGAACTCCGTGTGAATGAAACTTGTCTGCAACCTAAGTTGAACTAACAATGTGAACGCGATTCTGGATGTCCATGTATGTTCGGTTAGAAGTTAGAACTGCAACATGAATACGGCTTTGATAGTCCATGTATATCACGAGTACCAACGTGAACGTGTTGGGTCAACTACATGGTGGTGTGTATTAAATGCCTACCACGAGTGGTGTGTAGTGCAATTTAATGTTAATTCTATTTGGACTACAAAACCAGAACACAACACATTATTACGTGATTGTTAGCGTTGGTGAGGTTGTGTGAGAAAGGCTGTGTTGATTTGGGTAAGGTAATGTTTTAGGAGTGGTTATAATCAATATACGCAACTAGGCTGAATCATTGCATTTCAAATGAACAACACATCCATTAACGATGAGACACCATTTTGTCTCTACAACCAGGCATTGCAATCAGTGACGGATTCAGAAAAAAAAAAAAATTTCAGTAGAGCCGAATTATAATTTTAGTGGGGGAATTTTCATAAATTCTTATAAATTTAAAGTATAAAGTGCAAAAAAAAATAATAATAAATAATTAAAAAAAAAAAAAAATGAAGAAGAAGAAGAATCTATGAGAGCAAATTATAATTTTAGTGGGGCATCTTAAAACAAATTTGATTTGAATGCCTATTTGCGAAAAAATAAATAAATAAATAAATAAATATATCATGTATGGAACTCCATCGAGAAGAAAACTATTCTTGAGTCAATTTCCTTCAACTGAAATTATTGCATATATAGTTTCTGATAGAAAATAAATAAAAATGTTTACAATCTCAATAAAATTTTCAAAATTATCTAATAAACATTGACATATTACATGTTGCATTTGAACGAACTAATTCTGTAATGTGAAACCAGCTCAATTATGCTATAGACTTTCTAAAGTAAACAACTTAAGTGGTAGGCATCACGTCTTGTCAATTTACAAGCACATTGTACGAAAATAAAACAAATTTGATTTGAATGCGTACTTGTAGAAAAAAATCTATCATGTCTGGAACTCCCTGATTGAGAAGAAAACTCAGCTATTCTTGAGTCAATTTTCTTCAACTGAAAGTACTGCACATATAGCTTTTGATAAATAAATAAATAAAAATATTTATAATCTCAATAAATTTTCAAAATTATCTAATAAACATTGATATATTACATTTTGCATTTGGACGAACTAATTCTGTAATGTGAAACCAACTCAATTATGCTATACACTTTCTAAAGTAAACAACTTGGTTGGTAGGCATCTTCTTCTCAATTTACAAGCACATTGTACGAGAATAAAACAAATTTGATTTGAATGCCTATTTGCTGATGTCTATCATGTCTGGACTTTCCTCATCGAGAAAAAAACTCAGCTATTCTTGAGTCAATTTCCTTCAATTATAAGTACTGCATATATAGCTTCTGATAGAAAATAAATAAAAATAATTATAATCTCAATAAAATTTTCAAAATTATCTAATAAATATTGATATATTACATTTTGCATTTGGACGAACTAATTTTGTAATATGAAACCAACTCAATTATGTTATAGACTTTCTAAAGTAAACAACTTGGTTGGTAGGCATCATGTCTTGTCAATTTAAAAGCACATTGTACGATAATAAAACAAATTTGATTTGAATGCCTATTTGTAGAAAAAAAAGAAAAAAAAAAGAAGAAGAAAAAAAAAAACTATCATGTCTGGAACTAGGGGTGGCAACGGGGCGGGTTTGGAGTGGGTTTCCCTAAATCCCGCCCTACCCCTCCCCTTTTAATTTTTGTCAAGTCCATGCCCGCCCCAAGATCCGCGATGGTTTGGATTTTCATGTCCAGCCTCACCCCGTTGGGAAATACTGTGCCCTCGTGCCCGCCCCGCTGACAAATTTTTTTCTCTCACTTTTTGGAACTTAAACTCCTGCTATTTAAATGTGGAAAGCTTAGGAATGACACTGTTGGGAAACGTGTAATATTTAAAAACTTTTCGAGGGATTTAAATTCATAGATCTTGATTCATCACATGGAGACAAGTTTTATGCAAAAATAAAACATGATGTATCATTCAATTAAAAGATTGAATACTTACATCAAGGTTTGAGTAAACCTTAGATCTCTCCTCTAAAGTGAATGTTCTCACTTATTGTAGATCCCTTAGGAAGATGCATTCTCCTTGGATCTCCATCTTCTTGGTAATTGTTTTGCCTTTAGGAATCACTCATATGCCTCCATGAATGACCTTGGAAAACTAGGCTTGTGGGAGCCTCCATTAGATGAGAACATAAACCCTAATTTTCTAGAGAGAGAAAATATATTCCTTTTTCCTTCTATTTAAAAATCACCCCTAAAATATACATAAACCATGTATATTTATAGGCAACATAAAGGTAAAGAAAAGGAAACAACTAATCCTTCTCAATCTCTAATTCGCATGTCTCAAATCTAATATGATTCCAATATCAAGTTGGGCTATGAGTGAGAATCCATTGGGCCTATTATTTTATTAGTTACAATGAATTAATAATTGGCTCGATTCATGGACCTAATTCAATTAATTCATAAATTAATTTCTACTCCACTAAAAGAAATTAATTGAACTCCAATTAAATAATAAATAACCTCTAAGTCAATATTGCACTTTGACCCCTCTATGCATAATTAGTTATCGGATAAATAAAGCCATCAATCCGACTACTTAATTAATATATTTATTTTGGTACCTTTGATTATTTCTGACTCGATCACAATAAAACATTTGTTTGACAAAAATAATAATTTAAATAAATAAATATATAATAAATCATTTTGTCTAAAAACACACGAAGGCTTTCGAATTTACTTTGTGATCAACCATAATCAATACAAAATAAATACAAGTAGCAATGATGCAAATATTGAAAATATAACCCTCTAACTATTAATTACATAACTACCCAAAGTGTCGGTCTAAGGATCCCGAAGAATCCGCCGAACAAGTCAAAGTAATTATTAATTAATAAAAGAGTCTATAATTTTCTCATACTTAAGAGTCAAATGCCATGACGGTGATAGGGAACAATTGTATACGACGGCTCTCGCAATATATCTCAACCTAACGCGGATCCAGTTCAAATCTTAATTAATTATGAGTCCATCCATAATTACCGACTATGAAGCATTTATGATTACTATTTATATATCATGCATTGATTGCCATCACAAACATATATATAAATATCTCTTGTAATCAAATGGACACTATCAATTCTATAATGAATCGAAATATAATACATTGAATTCATCAATTGTATAAAATATAAATATTTCAGAAACGTCAGGAACATGTGTCACTTTAATCCAAACAAGAATTTGCTATGCTAGGGCATATAAATCCCAACAGCTTTCACTTGCACCTAACTCCAATGTTATCCAGATGATGATCAAAATTATTGATCAATAATACCTTTGATAATAGATCAACAAAGTTGTGTTCCAATGCAATGTTCTAGCCACAAGTACATTTTCCTTATAGCCAATTCAAATTGCATCTAACTCCAATGTTATCCAGGTGTTGATCAAAACTATTGATCGACGGCACCTTTGTTAATGGATCAACAAAGTTGTGTTCCAATGTAATGTTCTAGCCACAAGTACATTTTCTTGCCGAACAATATCATGTAGAACATGATACTTCCTATCAGTGTATTTTGTTCATCTATGGAATCTTGGGTCATTGGTTTGGACTACTTCTGCACTATTGTCGCAATATAGCTCGATAGGCAGGCTAGTATGCTCCACAACCTCTAAATCAGTGAGATCAAACGAATAAGCTTCTTTTGCCGCCTTTAAGGCTGCAATATTTCCACCTGCAGGTTTAAATCAGCAGTTGAAATTTGCTTAACAATCTACCAACTGATTTCCCTTCCATTAAGTGAACATACACTAAGTCATGAACCTCATAGTATCTACTTCTGATTGAAAATCAGAACTAGCATACCTGACTAGGACCATATCATCACATCCATAAATGAGTATGATATCATTGATTCTCCTTAGGTACTTAATAATATTTTTCACAACAGACCAGTTATCAAGTCCAGTATTGGACTGATCTTTACTGACTATCCCTACT